AGTTACAGGTAAGCAACCTGTCTTTACTAGAAAGAGATTAATGCATTTCGTCTTGCAATAGATTAAAATGTTGCCATCACCTTTCTGCCTGCCCTTCTGTCATTGGCTTATTTGTGGTTTTCAAGAAATATTTTTACTGGCCAAAAGATAAACATCAGCGAAATAGAATGATTCAATGTCTGTGAGGGAAATAAGAGCGGAGTTGGCCTGAAAATATAACTGCCCTAAGGATACAGGGATAAGAGTGTACGTGAATAATCTCAAGAAGGTTTAGGGTGGGAAAGCTGAAGGAATAAAAGGTGGAAAGCTGGAGGGAGGAAGGGACCAAGGATTTTGAGAGGAGAGGGTCTAGAAATATTCTTGGCCAGAGGAAGACGTCAGAGTGACTGTTGGCTGAATTCAGGGAATTAAAAGAGGGTGGGTGGGGAACCTAAGAGTCTGGGAAAGAGAGGCTGAGGAGAAGGCAGCAGTGGAAGAAAATGTCCTATAGAACCTAGAGACAGGAGGAGCCATGTTGGAGGCAGTGTCCCTGTAAGGTTGAAGACCCAAGAGGGCAGCAAGGGAAAAGGGTCTGAAATAACATCTGCTGTTATTCCTCCAAATCCTTGGCTGCACATATAGTAAAGGTAAAGGTTCCCTTGCTCGAAAGCCAGTCAAATCCGACTCTAGGGTTGCGGTGCTCATCTCCGTTTCCAAGCCAAAGAGCCAGCGCTGTCCGAAGATGTTTCCGTGGTCATGTGGCCAGCATGACTAAACACCAAGGCGCACGGAATGCTGTTACACACACACACACACACACACACACACACACACACACACACACACATATATAATATAAATAACAAAATTAGTGCCTGTTCTGTGCCAGAGGGATAACTGGGACACTCATGCAGAGCCCTAACCATGCCTAAGCATTTTCCAAGTCCAGCCTTCCTGCTGTTCCTGTGTATTTTCCCCCAAGAAAAGTGGGCTGTGAAGCGTGCGGGCACTCTTTTCAAATAGTGGCGCAATGGCCACATGTTTTCTGTAAGAAGCAGCACTGATGTCACTGAAGATAAATCTGTTTAGACTCCCCCCCCCCCCAGTTGCACCAACTCTCTTACAACTTTAAGGGAATGGAACATCTTCCTGGTTTAGGAGACTAACAGAACTTTTCTTTAATTCATCCAGGATGGAGAACCCTTGAGTTGTAACTTCATTCCATTGGATATAAAATTAGATAACTGGGAAGATTTACCAGAATATTTTCAACAAAAACAGAATCGTTCATTGGTAAGAGCAGCTTGAAATTCTTATTGCAGCTATAAATAATTCCAAGAGTTGATATGTGCTTGTGCTATTCCATTGAGTAACAAAATGTTCTACTGTGATGCCTTTTTAATTACTGGCTAAGCTCACATATATCTTAATTGCTTTGGAAAAAAAGTAGAATCACACCTCCCTTATCTTCTGCAAATGCATAATTTAATATCCCATCTGCAGAATCAGTAAGTGAATTGTATTGGCAGAATAATTTTTTAGAAAAATTGTATTTGGTAATTCAACAAGGTGGGCAGAAAAAATGTAAGTGATGTAATTCATAGCACCCTCACAGAAAGACAGAGAACAATTGTTCCTGTATGGTTTTTAAGCCCGTCGATACATATGGCTCTGTATTGAGTGGAAAACTCTGTATAGAGTGGGAAATGGACTTTTTTCCTCATTCCAATTATGGCTTAGTCCTGTTCTTATAAACAATAATGGTTCTTTATGTTGCCAGTCACTGTATTGCCATAGCAGCCAGCCTCTCTGCCTACAAAATGACACACATAGAGTGAGTGATAACAGAATATATATGCATAATTAACACAAGCATGTGAATGTGACACACGTTGCAGGCACAATTCTAAAAGCATTCTCCATGTACATTTTTAAGAAACAGTTAAAAGTAAAGGCTAGCAATTTATCATGCTTCCTTGTTTAGTGTATACAATTTTTGTTGTATTTATACATGGTCAAAGGGAGATGCAACATCTGATAGAACCCTATACAGTCATAATGCTTAGGTGTTGGCCTGTGACTTCTAGTTAACCTAGAATCTTCTGCAGTGGTGAGACATGGGCAAGAACAGAGAGGTCCCACAGGGGTTCTGCCTAGGGAGGTGTTCCTACATACAGGGGAGAGAGTAGGGCTGCCAAGCCGCGGTGGGGGATCCACACGTCTTCACAGGATCCCTGCCACGGGGGACAGCGATACGCGTTGCACCGCCGTCGTCAGGATGTGACGCTAAGCATCACTCTGGCAACGGGACTCCAAACAGCCCTGTTGCCAGAGCGACGTGTAGCGTCACATCCTGGCGACGGCGGTGCAACGCGTATTGCTGTTCCCTGCGGCAGGGATCCTGTGAAGACGTGCAGATCCCCCGCCGCGGCTTGGCAGCCCTAGGAGAGAGCGATAGAGCACTAATTAACCAGCATAGACACAACTGCAAATGTTTATACAAAGAATTTGATTTACTGAAAATAGTTGACAAAGACACTGGCAATCAAATAAGTTAAGTGAAGTCTTTGGAGATCCTCTCTTCATAATCAAAAGTGATTGAGGGAAGGATCCCAACCTGTAGATGCTCACAATTCCCCAAAGCATGAGATGGATGAGCACAAAGCTTGTTATTCTGACATGGTCTCATCAGTGTTGAAGATAGGTCCCTAATCCCCTGCATCTTCCCCAAGCTACTGAACCATAAAGTTGTGGAGGTGGGGTGGGGTCATAACCTCTTTTCTAATTTATGCAGATTCCAATATAGGATGCTTTGGAATATAGTTCAGTTCAGTACCTTTATTGGCATAAATTATAAACATAACAAAAGAAAGAAAACAAATATGATTTTAGCCTTACAAAGGGATAAGGTCCCCATCAGAAGATTCTACCTTATGCTCCTAAATCCTCATAGCAATTAGGAAACACCATACTTGTTGTTGTTCAGTCGCATAGTTGAGCGACTCTTCGCGACCCCATGGACCAGATCACGCCAGGCCTTTCTGTCTTCCGCCGTCCTATGAAGTTTGCTCAATTTCATGTTCGTTGCATCTATGACACTGTCTAACCATCTCATCCTTTGCCGTCCCCATCTTCTTTGACCTTCAATCTTTCCCAGCATCAGGGTCTTCTCCAGTGAGTGCTCCCTTCTCATTTGGTGGCCAAAGTATTTGAGCTTCAGTTTCATTATCTGGCCTTCCAGGGAACAGTCAGGGAATGTTGCTTCTTGACCCTTAATACAGGTTTCTCAATAGACAGGTGAGGTGGTCTGGTACTCCCATCTCTTTAAGGACCTGCCATAGTTTGCCCAAGGTCATCCAGCCAGGTGCAAGTGGAGGAGTGGGGAATCAAACCCGGTTCTCCCAGATTAGAGTTTGCGCACTTAACCACTGCACCAAACTGGCTCCCTGGTTAATCAGCATTAACCAGGTGTTACCTGTAACTATTGTTCATTGAGTATCTTCTGTGCAGGCACACATAGCCTCCCTCCTGCCCCACTGCATGCTCTTGCTTTGGTGGTGCTAGATGTACTGAGGGTGGGGGCACTGCTGCACAGGAGCACATGGTTCCTGGGTGGGAACAAGCTTCTGGCTCCGGCATGCAGCACCCCTGGAGGCTTTTCGCTATAAAGACCCTATCAGATGGCAGGCCTGCTCATGTGCAGTCCCCATGTGTGCCTGCAACTTCGTTTTCCTCATGTAAGTGAGGTGGAGGACAAAGCTGTCTGACAATAGGAAGCTCTAAGAAAAGCCGCTGGGAATACGTTAACGTATAAGAGTGATTCTCAATGCAAGTTACAGGTAACAGTCTTTTCAGCCACTAAAGATTTTTCAGAGCTTTAAAAGTGGTAGAATCATGGAAACTTACTTGGTGACCTTGGGCCAGTCATTCAATTTCAGCCTAACATACCTCACGGGGTTTCTTGTGAACATAAAATGTAGGAAGCGAAAACGTATTTCACACTCCTTGATCAGATGCACTAAATAAATAGATAAAGTTGGTCCTGATAAAGAGAGTCCCTGGTGAAAAAACAGTGGAGTGTTCGATTCTGAGGTTCAAACCCCCATCTACTGGCTACCAGTGTTCTCTCTAAGCTGAGTAAGTGTGAGCTAGCTCACAGTTTTTTAGCCTCCAGCTCACACGTTTTCGTCTGGGCTCAGGAAGGGCGTCTCCAGAGCAAACTAATTGATGCAGCAGCCAAATCGATCACCCACGACCTTAATGCCGGTAGCTCACAAAGTAGAATTTTTGCTCACAAGACTCCACAGCTTAGAGGGAGCATTGCTGGCTACATATTTCAAAATAAATTCTATACTATTTCATTATTAATATTTGCGGGAATTTTTCTTCTAGATACTGAGGTTTGTGAGAGAGTGGAATAGTCTCACAGCCATGAAGCAAAGAATTATCCGGAAAAGTGGTCAGATATTTTCGAGACCCATTCTTGCTGCAGAAGATACACTGTCTCAACAACAGGCTAAACTTGGCTGTACCAAACGGTATGTGTTCTTCTCCATTGTGTAGTTCAGGGATCCCAAGTGAATAATGTCAGAAATAGTTAAACTGGTATTTGATTATTAAGGTACTTTAGTACGCGACTAGTTTTCTCTGTCACAGTTTAAGCATTTTGTGCTCTTTGAAATAGGGTCCTTCAAACAACAAAATTGGAAGGAGAAAAGAATATCTGGTGCTGGTCTTTGTCCTCAAGGGCAACCCTTCATGCTCCAATCTAATTTGTTGTGTTAGAACTATGGATCATCATTTCCTGCAGTTCATCCCATTCTCCTTTCCCAGAGAGCCATTCTGAAAATCTTCTGCTGAAATTTGCAAATTCTGACAGAAGGAAACAGTCCATTGCTTTTCTCCGCCCCCTCCATCTTAGCCTAATAAGATTAAAACTGCTCTGTGTTCATGATACAGAAAAAATATTTTATCACTCTATTGTCAGCCTTTGGACCATTGCAAAACATGACGAATCATCTTACTTAGAGATAGAACAGGGAGTTTCTTAAAACTCTTCTGATTGTCTAGACTGCATGTAGTTGTAGTTAATACTTGGGGGGATGACTTCTAGATACTATATACTGCAAAGAGATTGTTACAGTGCGTTCTTAGTTGTTGGCTGAGCTACAGGCTAAACCAGAACATTAATGTGATTCTAGGTACATGACGAAAGAAGATATCACCAAAGCTTCAATAAAGAAAGTGGACAGTAGTGGGGGCAGTGTTCGTTTAGTTACCAAACAATCTGCAGTTCCCTTAAAAATCCATACTGACTCTGCTGGTGAAAAGGACCAACATGCTGCAAAGTAAGTTTATCAGTGCCAGTGACAAGAAAAAGGAAAGGATAGTCCATTAGGATATGAGGAATTTTTTTTGTACAGTAAGAGTAGATCAGCAGTGGACTCAGCTGCCTAGGAAGGTGGTGAGCTCCCCCTCACTGGCAGTCTTCAAGCAGTGTCTGGACAAACACTTGCCAGGGATGTTTTAGGCTGATCCTGCATTGAGCAGGGGGTTGGACTAGATGGCCTGTATGGCCCCTTCCAATTCTATGATCAACAACCACACTACCTTTTTCTTTAGATTTCAGTAGGGGTTTTTTTTGTTGAAATTTTAAATGCATTAATTACACTACTCCATTCCTGGCAGTGAGTGTTAAACTCACTAGAAAACAAAGAAGTTTCAGTTAAAATTATTTTATTCAACCACTTTTTCATTTCATTATGAGGAGAAAAAGCTCCTTCTGAAAGACAAGAGTTCAAATCAGATTCTAAAAAGAGAAATGCACAACTAGCTTTGTGTTACACAGTATGAATACTGAACCTGTTTCTGCATAGTTGTCTAACCTGCAGAATTTTCCTTCAACATTTGACCATTTTAGTGCAGAATTCAGAAGTTCTTGGTATAATTATTAGGATGTCTGAGCCTGTATGTATTAATAATGTATTTTACTGCTAAAAGTAAAGCAACGGCTGCCAATTTATGTTTACCATAGTTCATCTTCAATAGATGGAAGTTGCCCAGTTTCCAGTTCAGTTCTGAGTCAATGTGATGCTTTTGAGGAGACCTGTGCAGGGAAAGGCTACTTGCAGGCTGTAGACGTTGAAGGGAATCCACTTTGCCTCAGCTGCCAGAAACCAACCACTGTGCTTCATCCGACATCTACCTGGGACACACGATTTTGTTCTCATAAATGCCAGGATGACTTCTTAATTCGTTCAAGTCAAAGCTACATGAGAGCACAAGTATTTGAAATAGAACATGGTGTTTGTCAAATATGTAGCCTGAATGCTCAGGAACTGTACCTCACTGTCAGAGATGCCCCAAAGAATCAACGTAAAAGTCTTCTGGAGAGCTCTTGGATGTCCAGGCTTCCTCTCACACAGGTAAAATGAACATTGACAGCATCCTTCTGTAGATGGCTTCTTGGGTGTGGGCCAATAGTCTTAAGCAAAAAATGACCAAAAAAATATAAATTACTAATAATGTGCTCTTCTGAAATTAAAATGAAATATAATGGCTTATGTCCTACCACTTTGCCCAGCTAAGTGCAGGGCCTTCCTCCAGTGGAAGAGGCTGTTCTTCCAGAAGGCTGTGTAAAGTAAAACCCATTTGATTTAGTCTGAGATATATAGCAGATATCTCTTGTTCAGACAACCATTGAATGAGGAAGTCGTGCACTTTGTGTTCGTTGAGAGTGACTGGATTGTTACCCAGCAAACAAGCGGTACCACCAAGACCAGATATTTAGTACCTAACCCACTCTGGAATTGGTTTAGGTACCTTATTTAAATGATACTATTCATTTAACCTATAGGTTTTGACTAGTGCCACATCAGAATCCACATAAACCAGGCTAAACTATCCTCTTAAAATTATTTTCTACTCACTATAACGTATGAAAAAAACTGCAACAGCCAAAGTAACCCCTGAATCCACCCCAACCAAAAGTCTCCCCAATGTTTTTCCCACTGAGGCACTTACCATCCCACCTTTTGATAATCCATAAATCTCTCACATTTGAGAAAAAGGGGCCATTCCAGTAAATAGTGTTCCAGTGTATTAATTTTCCCAGTAACACACAAGCACAGTCTCTCTGAATAGGGTACCTTCTTATAATGACCATTCCTTACTTGCGATGGTATAGGATTTAACGTAGCAAGCATAAAATCTTTCCTCTTTCGGGGCATAGTCAACTGTTTAATGTACAGCTGGAGACTTCTGGGATAGGATGATCCCAATTAAGTGGGAGAGTTTAGAAAATCCAAATCATATAAATGCTCCAGAATTACCTTTCTAGCTCTCTCCATCAACTCTGTTTCCAGAATTTGAATTCCCAACATCGATAACCTGATTTCTATCCATTGCTTCAAAGACCTTATATAAGATTCCTTTCTTAACAATAAAAGGCAACTGTTATTTTCTGAAGCAAATACAATCTTCAGCCACATCCTAAGGGCAGCTGCCCAAGCTCGGCCTTCAAGGGAATGAACACCAAGTTCTGATTTCAAAACAGTCCCTGCTACAGAGCTCAGGACTCCAGTAAGACTACGTAAAAAATTGTCAGTAGGTTATTCAGTGTTTCTTGTCAAGCTTCTATCCAAACTATAGCACCATATACAAATTGGGTTACTACCTTGGAACTACTATGACTGCAACAGTAAAATATTACCTGCCCTTACTGTAAAAAAAAACCACAAGTAACGAACAGCTTTGTAAGTTATCAGGGCCTATTCCCAAGTATTCCTAAAATGGATCTGCCATTGCAAATTTATCTGGAAGTAGACCCCAGAGTAACAAAACTGATTAACTTGTTCTTATGTTTGCTTGCCAATTCTCCAGATATATTTTGGAGGTCTTTCCCCACCACTTAGTATGTTATGGCCCTGAGGTGTTCAGGACGGTAACTGGATTAAGGAATGTTGGTAATGTTTTCAGTTGTCCTCTTTACTTTTGCAGTCTCCATAATTTGTTAAAAATCTTGGACTGTTATTTTGAATTGCTAGATAGTAATGTATATTTGTACCGTGGTAGAGAGCAGTTAAATTCAGTCAAATCAGTGGGTGTTCCAATGGGACCCTCTTAGTGGTAAGAGCTGTGATCACAGAATATTCATACATTTAAGTCAACCATTTGTTTCCGGTCTAAGGTGAAGTTTTGCCTCTTCCAAAATTCCTTTCCTCTTCATTTGAACCATCACATTCGCTTCATAGCCTTTCATCTGTAGAATCAGATGAACCTTAATTATTATAGGAGTGGCAGGCTCTAAGGATGTGCACCACACAAAAAAGTGGTTTTTAAAATTTGGATATAAGGGAGCTGAAAAATATTGCTGTTATCAGCTAATCAGGTCCTGACTCCCAACTACTGGTTTGGTTTTCAGATCTGGGTTTCTGTTTGTTTGTTTGGTATTCTGATATTAGTTGGCTCTATTATTCCCTTTGAGGAACCTTCCAGAAGGCTGGAGGGGCTGTTTTTTAATAATAACACCACAACTGAAGTGGAGCTGGTGGTGTCTGTCTGCTAAATAACTCCCAAGTTTCAAGTGAACTGGACCAAGGAAATGTCTCCTGTTAAGACTGCACATACACAAGATTGAATGTCAAAGCTTTAGCAACTCATCCTCAGTATTTTATTACAGTTGAATGAAATTATCCTGAACCCAACTGAAGGTCACTTCTGGCAGGTGGATCATATCAAGCCAGTTTACAGTGGGGGAGGACAGTGTTCTCTAGAAAACCTTCAGACATTATGCACAGTTTGTCACAAAGAGGTGAGTACAAATTGAATGTTACAATGAGAGAAATGAGTGGTGCAGTTTCACTACCTTTCTTGTGTATCCAATGGCTACTAGGGAAACTTTGAGTTTATTTTAAAACGACTAGTTAAGGTTTGTGTGCAGCATGAACAGATGGCCCAAATCATTTTAAGATGCTGCTTGAGAAGACAGGCCATGCCAGGCCATGATTCAGTGGTAGAACTTTCCAGGCTTAGGCCCTAGCATCTCCAGTCACAAGGATGTGATAGTAGATCCGAAAGATTTTAGTTGAGGCCATGAACAGCTGCTACCAGTTAGAAAAAACAATACTGACCTTCATAGAGCAATTGTCTCACACTGTAAAACAGCTTACTGTGATGAAAGCTCCATTAGCAGGCAAGATAGTAAGGGACAGTTCAAGACAGTCTACTCAAATAGTAAGTATACATGGTTTGACATAAATTTTAATCTACTTTCCTGTCAGGTTTGCTTTAAAAATGGAATAGTTACTTCCTGTGTTGAGTTTCCTCTTGTACAATAATACTGTAGTAAACAAAAAAAGTTTGAGCATAACTACCTAATTCCCATGTTTAACAGAGTACTTTTTTTTTCCTGCAGAGAACAGCAAAACAAGCAAAGGAAAGAAGTCAACTGAAGAGACACAGTCTGTCTTCAAAATATGGGTCTGACATTACTAGATTCTTTGTGAAACTCTAAAGTCAGTCACTGTATATTAAAGGTTGTCTACAGCATGAACATTTTAATAAAAATCATATACTCTGACATGCTATTGAACTTCTGTAATAAGGATCACTGTTATGTACTCTCAGGTGTTTTTATGCATCAGTTTCACATTTAGATGAAGCAGATTAATAGTTATTATACAGTGGTTAGAGTTCTTAATTTCATAATCTATGGAATTTGTTTTATTCTTAAAAAATTGTAAATACATTAAAACCAATGTGCTACTCTACAGCCTAATATCTATCACTTTATTGCTATAACTACAGGCCTCTGCAAATCATGTGGATGGTATCACCAGATCTTCTGAAGCTGTTATATAAAACCTTTGACCTATAAACCATGGAATTACAATTTTTGAGCTATTAACACCTATGAACATTATCCATTCCATGGAATCAATTTCCAAATGCAGTACTACTGTGTTGCTGCTATATTCAGACTCCATTCTTACATCAAGTGCCTATGCTAAATAGATTTTGCCATTTTGGAGTAAAGCAGATGTTAGGGGTATATGCTCAGTATATACCAAGCCCCATAAGTACCTGAAAAATACCTTTTCTAATCTGATTTGGCTACTGATTTAATATCGGCTGTTATTCAGGCTCAGCTTCACTAGCTGAAGTGGTGCGAGTTCATCCACCTTCCAGGCTCCTCAGGCACAGCTTGGTCTTGCAAAAGCCATTTAAAGGGAAAAGTCCCTTTAAATGGCTTTTGCCAAACCATCCACATGACTCACAGAGTTGTGCCACCACCACAGCATGACTCTGAGTCAAGCATTTAAACTTTAATTACCTTCCCTCCCGAGTCGTGGCATGCCTCAGCAAGTGAAGGGGAGGCATTTAAACCGGTCAGCTGACAGGTAGACCTGCTGCGCTGTTCGGTTTAAATGGGAGGAAGCCATTCGCAGTGCTCCCTTTTGCTCCCCCCACTCCAGAGTGGGGGGGGGGAGCAAAGCAGAGTGGTTTAATGGCTTCTTGCCATGTAAAGGGAGCTTCGCCAAATAAATTCAGCAATACCGATTATTTCCTGAATCCCAATATCATACCGAAATTGGGATTCAGGAATATCAGTGTATACCAATATTTTTCAGGTTTGGTATTCCTGAACCTGAAAAATACCAATTTTTTTTTGTACACATTCCTAGTAAATGTACAAAACTAGAGCAAGTCACATCAGTCCATTAAAATAATCCTTTACTTATTACATCAGTACGTACATAAACAAGCAAATGTTTGCATGATGACAGTATGGAAAGGTAAAAGCTAGTGGTAGTGTAAAGCCCTTCATGACCATTTGTTTGTACTCACAGTAGCTGGTGCAGGGTAGTTAATTTTTTGACAGCTTCAGTAAAACACACAGGAATTAGTTGCATTTTAAAAGCTACATTTTACTGGAACTTTACACAGCTTTAACCTACTTAGACTGGTATCATACAACTAGTGCACTGCTTTGTAGATGAGCATAAAACAAAATTGGCATTTAAAATCTGGTACCGGAATACAAGTTGCAAAAGTAATTAAATTGTACACTTGACAGTAATATAGTCCAACTGTATGCTGTTCATTGTCGGCAAACTGCCTCCATCAGAAAAAAGCTCAATAATGTGCCAGCAGCAATCCTGTTCCCAACATCCCACAAAAAGTATTTACAATGCCCAATGTGATAGCTATAATTAGACAAGGGAGTTAAACAGAAACAATCGCTTTACAGTTCTGCAAAACATCATTAATGTATTCCTTGTGACAAAGATAGTATTCAGCACAGGCATTGAAGTGCCTGGCTTCTGAGGAAGCTGATCACTAATTACAATAGGATTATCCTAATCTCCAAAGCTACACTTCTCAGGACACACACTTCCACAGCAAGACAGGACTGCTATATTGCACCACAACAAGATGGAAAGTGCAGTGGGGTATATGGTAACATCAGAAGAATGTTGTATCCAATGAGAAGGCACCAGCAAGTCGGAAGTCCTCTTTTGTAAGCACACTGTACATTCGCTGTGGCAGAGGTTTAGAATAAGGAGCAGGCCGAGGAATGATCGTGCGTAAAATAACCTCATGTCCTGCAGGTGATGGAAAATCTGCAACTGATCCTGAGTTCAATCGCTTCTCATCTGAGGAGTCAGACCTCTTCAGCTCTTCGTCAAGTGGCAGCATCATGGCTACCTAAAAGGAATCCAGAAGCCTCATTAATGAGAAAAGCCTTCATAAATGTGTTTACAGTGGAGAACTCCATGGTAACTGAGACACAATGGCAACATGGCTAAATATAGCAAGCCTTACATGTTTACAAATAGCACTACATGTACACATATGCAAGACAAACAAATTGACATGCCAGTGATAGCAGTATTCACTGGATTTCTAAACTTCAGGGGAAAATTACATTCTTTCATTATAGAGCCTCTTGTGCTTCTACAATATAGGGACCTATTACCAGGCAACTTTACACAATGGAACACTGCACGACCTAGACCACTGCCAGCTGCCAGAAGTGGGCCTTCAACTGCTTTCGCCTCCACTCAAAAAACCTAAAGTATCATTGGCATACTGAGATTCCAGCAAATTATACCAACTGTTTAAGAGTATGTTTAATTTGCCAATAGTTTGGTCAATATTACAAGAATATTAACTGAGGCTGGACTTTTACTGCTTTCAAAACCTCATCAAGTAGTGTGTTGTCACTGGCAGTGGTCCCTCCACATCCTGTGAGATTTTAAACTAGATTGAAACTGGGACCTGAGACATGCAAAGTACATGCTATGGCACGTTCCCATCTGTTTCGAGTTAACCACTGGGACTCTACTGGACTAGCACCAAGTGAGGGATGGTGAATGGACTTAACTAGTGAGTTCATTTCAGAAAACAGCTCCATACAAAAAAGTCCAATTTTCTTGCAAAGTGATTGGATAATTAGTTGACAACTCTTTCACAACTGACTACTGCAGACCTCTTTACACAAGCATTTTATCCGGGAACGACACATTCAAACAAACTAACAGCCATTTTCCATAATGAGTATCCAAAAAGGGTTTGATGTAGTTTAGTACTTGGTTATAAAATTTCCATACTATATGCTTTGCAAGCTTAAAAAAAAAAAATCTCTCCTTGTGTGGTGAAGTCAAATGCATCAGCAGTATTTCTAGGCATTCCAACTTCAAAAGCTTCTCAGGTCATGATTATAGATCCACTTAAAGTTCCAGTTTTTCAGTCTCAAGTTTTTTCACAGCTTATTTTATTTCAAAACCTAGCACTTCAAAAAGCCTTGTTTGAAGTTGGAAAGAATAAATTACTCTAAGCATTTGAATGTGCAAATGAGCAGCGGTGGTCAAATCAAGTCATTGTGCTAAGCTAGCTATAGCATTCATTTCTATGCACCTAATATGAAGTTAGGTGGATGACAATTAGGGAAAAAGCTAGTTACCTCCTCAGAAGATTCAGTCAGCTGGATAAGAGAACACCAGTGATAAAAGATAGAAAAAAGGCAAGTCAGAGATGACTCACATGGGGTTAGACAGAGATTTCAGAATGCTCTGCTCTAAAGGCAATGTATTCTGAATTCAAGGAGTACATTGCTGTCAAGGAAACTACTATGACACACATTCAGAGAACATAACAAATGTAACATAAACACTGACACACAACTGGTACACAGAAACTGACATCAGCTTAATACAAGTCAAATCGATCCAAGTTTTACCCATTCAATATATGCAACTTTCCAAACATGCCTGATCAAGCAAATTCAGATGGGCACAGGAATTCCCCATCCGCAATGGCTATGGTTCTAGGTTTAAAAAAGCTTAGGAATGGCTGAAAATCTTCACAAACCAATAGAAACTTAGATAAACATGTTTGTTCCATTATATTTATACTACACTTTTCTTCCCAAAAGGGCCCCAAACAGCTTATAACCTCATTCTCCCTCTCCTCCATTTCATCCTCACAATAACCACTCTGTGAGATAGGTAAGGCTGAGAGAGTGTGATTGGTCCAAGCTTAGCCAGTCAGCTAAGTTTCCCTGACAAAGTAAGGATTCAAGTCTTGGTCACCCAGATCCTAGTCTGACACATTAACCACTACACCACCCTGGTTTTCCATACAGCTATTGTTTTTCTAAAAGAAATACAATAATCATTGGTCGCTGAGACTCAGATCTTGAAGCACATAAGCAAAGTCACACTAGGAAGGCAAGTTCCCCGCCTCTCCCTCCTTACTGTAGCCTTCTTTGGCCCCTAAAACTGCACTCTTGCAAAGCAAACTGGGAGTCTGATGTGGAGAACAGACTCTACTCGAAGTGGGAGGAGAGAATAACCATCTCCCTTCCTTGGCAGATGGGAAAACTGTTCCGTTAGCAGAGCTGCTTTTACAATCAGTGGAGCAGCACTTTAAGAACCAAGCCTAAATATATGTGGTACAAACATATAGCACAAGGCACAACCATTTTGCAGTGCATCTGCAGGGCAGACTGTGGTACACTATACATGCTGACTCCATTTGAGCACTGGACTAGATTCAGGTGGGGAGCTGTGTTGGTCTGAGTCCAGTGGCACCTTTAAGACCAACAAAGTTTTATTCTGGGTATAAGCTTTCAAGTTCACTTCATTAAGGAACTGCATATTGTGACTCGTGCTGATTTCTGCTCCAGCATGAAACACCAGTCCCACTTTGCTCAGCGACATCCACAAAAGCAGTGAGTTACGTTCATTTCAAGCGATTAACTACAAACTTAGATCCAGCACAGGGAGTGGTAGGTGGCAGACACTAGAGGTGAAATGAGCCAAACTACTCAGTACTCTAAAAGTGACATGGGCAAACTAACCAAGTTAAAGGAAGCATGGTTACTTGTATCTCTACAAGCTACAGCGCTATGTTACTTCACACATAATTTGAAACATCAATCACAATGTAATATAAGTAATAATGGGAAGCTATGCCACCTTTATGTTTGGATACAGAATTCCATGTCCTACTATCAAGAGAAAAATTGTATGATTTCCCTGCTCTCATAAAAATCTACCAAGTCAAATTATGCTCCTACTAACTGAACTTCAGTCCTCTGAGCACTACGTCCCATGTGGAATTACAACCACGTATCACTCCTATTACAGGAAATGTAGGCTTGAATCCAAAGATCTACATATGCACATGTAATGGGGATTTCTCCTTTCCCTTCCTGCTGCAGCTCTTCACACCCCCTGAGAAGCCACTCAAGGAGCGAAGGACTCTGGAACATGCAATTGGGCATGACAGGCTGCAGCCAAAGGGGGGATAGGGAAAATCCTTGGTTTCAAGCACAAAGGCAGCTCGTATTCAGCTTGTGCAAAGATAATTTTAGATTCAAGCCATAAGGCAGGATGCCTGAAAAACGAGAGGCCTGCAGCCATAAAGTGCCTGGTTATTTAAGATCATTCATTAATCTTCCTCTCTGCTGCAGTTCACAGCCACGTGCAACTCTCTGCTCTGCACATT